TCCGCCTCTGTCACTCCGGCCCACTCCCAATCCGCCCCTGTCACTCCAGCCCACTCCCAATCCACCTCTGTCACTCTGGCCCACTCCCGATCTGCCCCTGTCACTTCGGCCCACTCCCAATCCACCTCTGTCACTCCGGCCCACTCCCAATCCGGCCCACTCCCAATCTGCCTCTGTCACTCCGGCCCACTCCCAACCCGCCCCTGTTACTCCAGCCCACTCCCAATCCACCTCTGTCACTCTGGCCCATTCCCAATCCACCTCTGTCACTCCGGCCCACTCCAAATCCGCCTCTGTCACTCCGGCCCACTCCTGATCCGCCATCGCTGCAGGACACAACCCGCGCTTTCAGCTCCGCCAAGTGTCTCCCAGTCGTGACCTGGCTCCTTCGGCAGTTTCGTTAAAAGGGGTGTTGGCTGGGTGGTAGGGAATAGAATTACTGCACAGGGAGAGAGAAGGAGGGAGAAAGAGAACTGGCGAGAAGAATGGAGCTCCAAATGCAGTGACTTACCCTGCCACCAGCTTGCAGGGCACTGTACGGATTCTATAAACCTCTGCATTATTTGCAAGTGCTGGGACATCCACAGTGCTGTTAAGGGAGGGTGTTTGAGGACTTCGATCCAGTGGTAGGGAAGGAACAGTGCTGAAGACCCCAGAAGAATACTATCGGACCCCAGCCCATTTCCAATTCAGTTCGGCTTCTGTTCTCTTGTGAGGAAGGCTGGTTTCAGAAATATTGTGTATGTATATTCAGCACATATTGTGTGATATTTGAGGCATTATTCTAAAAAACAATTTTGCCTGAAATTGTGTTGAACATATTGGGAGCCTGGAAGATTGCTGGTAAGGGTAGATCATCAACTAGGAAAATTGAGCCCTTGACTTCCAGCTAAAAGTGAGAAATAAGAATAAAATCTGCATTTATATAGCAGCCCTCACAAACCCAGGAAGGCTGAAATCTCTCTGTGCAATTAGTGAAACATGGAAAATAGGATCAGGAGTAGGCCATTCTGCCCTTTGAGCCTGCTCTGCCATTCAATAGGATCATGGTTGATCATCCAAATCGTCTCCTGTACCTGCTTTCTCCCCATACCATTTGATCCCTTTAGCCCTAAGAACTATCACTAACTCCTTCTTCAAAACATTCAATGCTTTGGCCTCAACTGATTTCCATGGCAGAGAATTCCATAGGCTCCCCACTTTATGGGTGAAGACATTTCTCCTCATCTCAGTCCATCTCCATATCCTTAGACTGTGACCCCCTGCTTCTGGATTCCCTGTTCGTTGGGAACATCCTTCCTGCATTCACCCTGTCTAGTCCTGTTATAACTTTGTAGGTTTCTATAAGATCTCCGCAGTGAATATAGTTCTAACTGATCCAGCCTGTCTTCATACATCAATTCTGCCATCCAGCAATTAGTCTGGTAAACCTTCATTGTACTCCCTCCATCACCAGAACATCCTTCCTTAGATGAGGAGACCAAAACTGCACACAATATTCTAGGTGTGATCTCTCCAAGGCCCTGTACAATTGCAGCAAGACATCCCTGCTCCTGTACACCAATTCTCTCACTGTGAAGCCAACATACTGTTTACCTCCTTCACCCGCCTGCTGCACCTGTATGCTTACCTTCAGTGACTGGGGTACAAGGACACCCAGGTCCCGCTGAGCACTCCCCAGTCAATGAAGCACTTTTCAAATTTAGTCACTCATGCAGTGTGGGAAATGTGGCAGCCAATTTGGACACAGTAAGATCTCACAGACAGCAATATGGTAGTGACCAGATCGCCGGTTACTTTAGATGTTGGTTGAGGGACATGTCCTGGCAAGGTCATCGGGAGAACCCTCCTACTGGTATCACTGGGTAGTTTACAGTCAGTGGACAGGTCAGGCAGGGTCTTGGTTTTAACATTTCACTCTAATCAATGCTCCTTTGTCAGTACAGCCCTCCCTCAGTGATGGCAGAGCTGACCACACCCTCCCAATCTCACCTCCAATGATTCCCTCAGCAGTGGCCCTGCCTCCAGATGGGCCCAATGCTTCAGAATTCCCTTCCTAAACCTTTTGAATTCCCTTTTCCTTTGTTCATCTTCAATGCATCAGTATTAACTGCCCCAGCATCTTGTAGGAATCCTATCCTATTTACTTACCATTCACTGTTTCTTGTTAAGAGTTTATTGCATAAGCCGCATCCTTTGGTTCTCCTGGCCTGAGAGTGCTGGAAATGAGCTGATTCAAATTATACTCACAGATCACAACCCCACTCTGACCCACCTCGCACACTCCAGCTTAAAATGCTACCAACTAATAATGTCAAAAGTTACACAACACTAGATTATAGTCCAACAGGTTTATTTGAAATCACAAGCTTTCAGAGCAACACTCAGGGTCAACACTTGAGGAGGGGGCTTCGCTCTGAAAGCATGTGATTTCAAATAAACCTGTTGGACTATAACCTGGTGTTGTGTGATTTCTGACCTTGTCCACACCAGTCCAACTCCAGCATCTCCACATCCTGGCTAATAAATGATCCTGGGAGATAAAGCAATGCAGATATGACCATCTGAGAGTCAGTCCTGGTTTCCCAATGGCTTTAACCGATGTCAGAGATTTAAGCTTTAACTGAAGTTATTCACGGAAAACTAGCTGCTCAGCCAATCTCACAAGCACTCCTGTCACCAGACAGAATGTCTTGGAGTGATGGTGCACTTACGAGTCTCTACAATAAGTACTTTGTATTTGGAGAGGCTTTTAGAGAGTAGTTTAATCAACCTACATCCACTTAAGATGCACAGTCAGATTTCAGAAAACTGGCAAGGCTCCTACACAATCCCACTCAGGACAGTAATGTGATTGCTCATCTCTTGTGTACATTTCTTCCATGCAAAGTCCAGAAGCATCAATCACAGCAGCCTGTCTTCTGTTACACAAAGATTTATTATCAAAGTAACAACACCTTGTGTTTATATAGAACCTTTAATATAATAAACTGTCCCAAACATCACATAGAGTGTTAACTATCAAAACCTAACACCACAACACTGAGGTAGATGTTAGGGAAAGGTGTTATGGATTGGGGGATTCACAGTGGTTAAATGGGCATTCATTATTTGTTCAACACTAAAGAGTGGAGCAGGTTTGAGGGGCTTTGGTCCTTGTCCCATGACCAAGTCCCTTCTCCAGCTTCAGCACATGACTAAAGTCTGCCACATGCTGGCCAGAATAGGTAAGGCAGGCAGATTCCAATCCCCACAAAACCCGCTTGCGAGTGGAATTCATTTTTACTTTTTCTCATGTCAGCTTTCTGTTTCCAGAAGTTTCTCTGCCCCCTACTATCCGCCTTGACCCCACACCCACATCTCAGCCCCCACCCACCCTGTCCCCAAACCATCCCCAACCCCCAGCTCTGGTGAACTTCTCCTGCTCTAGACTGATAACTATAAAAACCTCAGCAAGGGACAATTTTGCTCAGGAGTAACTTTAAATGAGTTGTTGGAGCAATAGAAGCTCCTTGACATGGCCATGATCTTAAAAAACAAAAAGACTGATGTTGAGATGATAACAGGGCGGTTTGATTGCAAGTCTCTGGGGAAATCTTTCCAACCCTTTGGGCTGGTGACAGTAAAACTGCGAAGTCCTGACACTGCTGCAGTGAACTCAGATCCGACACCCTCGGTGAATGTACTGCCTCCTTCCAAACTCTAATGCACCCACACATGAGGTGATTGAAGGCCTGTGCTCCATGACCCAGGCCCCACACTAACAGTAAAATGGAGTGAAGTGAAACAAGCAAACTGCTGAGTGCTTTGGCCCCATCTTAAAGGGCCATTTGTATCAAACAGCATCAAAGAAACACAATGTGCTTCCCAGATCAAAGAGATCCAGATCGTTCCAAGACTTTTGAAAAAGTGCTTCCTTTGTTGTAAAATGCTTTGTGACAATCTGAGATTGTGAAAAGCACAAAAAAGGTGCAGAGATAGTAGGAACTGCAGATGCTGGAGAATCTGAGATAACAAGGTGTAGAGCTGGATGAACACAGCAGGCCAAGCAGCATCAGAGGAGCAGGAAGGCTGACGTTTCAGGCCTAGACCCTTCTTCAGAAATGGGGGAGGGGAAGGGGGTTCTGAA